GAAGATCTCCTATCTGTCAGTCCACTTAGGTCAAGCCAATTGGGGCAATGCTTTCCACAGACCCCCCACTTGGTTGGGTGTTTGGTACGGACTCATGAATCCCACAGCTGTGTTTCAAGTAATCCTTTCTTCTTCCTCTCCCCAAATTAACACTTTATCCCTCTTTGATTTGATTTCTTCTAACTTTCTTTTTTCTTTTTTTTTTCTTTTTTTTTTTCTTCTCTCTCACAAGTATTTTTTTCTTGCCTATTCTTTTTATTATCATCTATGGTTTATCATCAATGCCCAACTAACCCAATAATTAAGGATTTTTTGTATTTATGTTGTACTTTTTAGAACTTAATAGGCAACTTTTTTTTTTTTTTTGAAGTATTTAGTAGAGTATGGTAATGGTGATATAACACCTCTTTAATGAAATAGGATCAGTAGAACATAAATTGCATTCGCATTAATAGGTGGTTAGATAAAATTGCATCTTCGTCAATTTAGAAAATGATCCTTCATCTCGTGTTCCAATCATTAAATTACCAAAATTTTCCTTTTGAAAAGGTGATTTCATAGGTTGAAAGCTATTGTAGTTTTAAGAATAGTTAGAATAGTCTTAAAGTTGATTCGAGCTTTACAATATTTTATTTCTTTTTCCTAGGTATCAACTTACTTTCTTTATGTTTCAACCTCATTATAAAAGAAATTTTATCTATCCTTTCATATCCTAAAGGTAATTTGGCAAGCCAGGTTTTAAGTAGTTGATTTGATTGAATGAGAAAAGGCTATTGGGTAAATATTTGATTTTTTATTTTTATTTTTATTTTTATTTTATTTTTTATAGAATCAACTCGGAAAATCAGGTGAATTTTGTCCCATCTTTTATTAGTCGGTGTGTGTGAGCTTTGCTCTACTAGCTCTATACTGCCATCAACTCCATTATTGGTAATGTGATAAATTTCATCGTTTTAAATATATTCTATGGCAAGATTAAGGCGTAGGCTCGATTTTCTCATAGCTACAACCTCACTTGCATGTACAAATCATATTGTTCATAAAACTTAGCATCAAACTTTATGAATCAAAGTACCTAAAGCTTCTTAACATTTCTAATCTATGACATACACTTGTCGTTTTTAATATTTTTATTAATGAAAATAAATAAATAAATTATACTTTTTTTATCCTCAAGTTTTAGATTTGGTTGCATTTATTTTCGTATCTCATTTGAGATTATCGCTGTTTTGGTTTTATCATTCTCACTTTTAGTTGTTAATCTTTTATGTAGGACTCACTAGGTATAATATATTTTTCAAATACTTTTATGTGTATACATGTTTTAAAAAAAAAAATAAAGAAACTAGGTAGAAAAAGTATTAATTATTATTTTCTTATAATTAAAAATTGAAAAAAAAATTAAAGTTGTATTTTGTTATGATATTCTTGGCCAAAGACAACCAATCTTAAAATCATTCAAATAAAGCATTTAAAGTAGAAAGGGTTGGTGTTTGGTAGTGAGCAAATACCAGAGAGAGAGAGAGAGAGAGAGAGAGAGAGAGAGAGAGAGAGAGAGAGAGAGAGAGAGAGAGAGAGAGAGAGAGAGAGAGAGAGAGAGAGAGAGAGAGAGAGAGAGAGAGAGAGAGAGAGAGAGAGAGAGAGAGAGAGAGAGAGAGAGAGAGAGAGAGAGAGAGAGAGAGAGAGAGAGAGAGAGAGAGAGAGAGAGAGAGAGAGAGAGAGAGAGAGAGAGAGAGAGAGAGAGAGAGAGAGAGAGAGAGAGAGAGAGAGAGAGAGAGAGAGAGAGAGAGAGAGAGAGAGAGAGAGAGAGAGAGAGAGAGAGAGAGAGAGAGAGAGAGAGAGAGAGAGAGAGAGAGAGAGAGAGAGAGAGAGAGAGAGAGAGAGAGAGAGAGAGAGAGAGAGAGAGAGAGAGAGAGAGAGAGAGAGAGAGAGAGAGAGAGAGAGAGAGAGAGAGAGAGAGAGAGAGAGAGAGAGAGAGAGAGAGAGAGAGAGAGAGAGAGAGAGAGAGAGAGAGAGAGAGAGAGAGAGAGAGAGAGAGAGAGAGAGAGAGAGAGAGAGAGAGAGAGAGAGAGAGAGAGAGAGAGAGAGAGAGAGAGAGAGAGAGAGAGAGAGAGAGAGAGAGAGAGAGAGAGAGAGAGAGAGAGAGAGAGAGAGAGAGAGAGAGAGAGAGAGAGAGAGAGAGAGAGAGAGAGAGAGAGAGAGAGAGAGAGAGAGAGAGAGAGAGAGAGAGAGAGAGAGAGAGAGAGAGAGAGAGAGAGAGAGAGAGAGAGAGAGAGAGAGAGAGAGAGAGAGAGAGAGAGAGAGAGAATTGTTATAAAACTGAAGATCCAGCTCGGAGAGGAACGTCACCCCTTGCTGAGGGCTCTGCCCAGACATTTTTTAATATTACTCTGTGCTTTTTTTCTAATAAAAAAATAATATGTAATAAATTTTAAGCCCCTTTTATAACTGTTATCTCAAATTATAAAATTAATAAAAATAAAATTATGCATCAAATGTTTTTTGAAGTCTTATGACCATTTTAATTCCTCGGTTTTTTAAAATGTCTATTTTGTCAAAACACTTTCAAATATATTAGCTAATTATTGAGCCATGGATATTATTTTGACATTAATTCCCTCACGAAATAAAATAGAAAAATTGGAAAAAAGAATTAAATTTATAAAGAAAATAATAATTTAAAAATCTACAAATAACAGAAATAGAGAACGTGTAGTGCACTGGCAATGGCTGGGGTCTGATGCATGGGATCGCGTAGGCTCGTTTTTTCTTTTTCTTTTTCTTTTTTAATGGTCAAAAATCAAAAAGTACCTTAAACAAATAAAAAGAAAAAGAAAAAGAAAAAGAAAAGGAAGGATGAATTTACGAAAATACCCGTCCTGCTCTCTTACAGCTGGCCACGTTGTCCTATGCTCCCTCCTAGTTCTACAGAGAGAGAAAGCTGACTGTGTATGTCACGTGGCATTGGTCACGTGCGTTGTTATAATTGAAGGAACGAATGAATGAGTACAAGACATCCACGCGAGGCTGCCCGTATCTTTGTAGGGAGTGCCCATTTTGCTTCTCTCACTCTCTCTTCCTTTTATTTACTTATTTATTTATTTTATCATTTTATAAGTTTATTGGTTAAATTCTATTCGCCAAATTATATATAAATTTTTTATTTTGTGTCAAATTTATCAAAAATTAACCAGAAAAAAAAAAAAAAAAAAAAAAGTCGTAGAAATTGGCTGTCGTCCACCTTCCAATGTGCCTTCATTTGCTCCACCAAATTTTTAAGAGATTATAACTTGTTTTTGTATTTTGTATATATATATTTGTAATTATTGTTGAATTATGTTGATTTTAATATGTAATTTTAATTCTATTTAAACTAAATATATTAAAAAATAAATGTGTTTAGCCTCCAGCTCGTTAATTTTGTTTTTATTCAAATTTAAGGCTACGAGTGAATGTTTTTAAAGGGTGGAATTCAAGAGCGGTTATAAAACTTTATTGTTGTCATTTTGACTGTATTTTAGTTTATAATTTCATCTTTTTTATAAATTAATTTATTATTTAAAATATTTATCAAAATTTGAAATAATAATAAAGGTTGGAATTTATAGGCTTTTTTCAACAAAGTTGTTAAAAACCAAACCTTTTTCATCGTAAAATCAAAATTTCCTAATTTTAAGCCCAACAAATATTAATTTCCATAATATAACCATTTTTGGTTTTTTATATATGTAAACAGCTCTGTCATTGTTTTTATCCAAAATCCTATCAATTTAATAATATGCTTTTATTCTATAATTCATAAAAATAATAATTAAAAAAACACATAAATACAGCTTTTTAAACATTTATATTATAAAAATTATAAGATTAAGTTTCACTAGACAAAATAAATAATTATATATATATATACACTAAGGATCTAGTATAAATAAAAATTTAAGAATAAATTAGCAATTTAATCACTAATATTAAATATTAATAAACAACGATCATTGAAAAAAACAAGATTTAAATAATTTAAATGAGGCAAAATTTAGAATTTTGCCGAAATGCTTAATGAATTAGCAATCGAAGGAGTTGATAAAGACTCGTGGAGGTGGAGATGGTGGTTATGAAACACGCACCGAGTTGTTAAAAGGCTGAACTTTTATAAGACTAAGACAGCCAATTCAAGTGCGAGTGGAGAAAAGTTGAATGGTTAAGTGCGTGGGATTGATTCCCTTTACAACATATCATAACGTCCATTAGAAACGGTCATGCTAGCACATTGTTACCCGTATACTTAGCTTAAATAATTTGTATTAATCTCTTTAATAAAATAATGTAAATCTTACCGTTAAAATAATAACACACTATTTTTTAAACAAAATTATATACTTCTTCCTCGTTGTATTCTTTGTTACCCTTGATTAATTAATTGTTTATGTATATATATATATATATATGAATACATTTAGACCCCTTGTTTAGGTTTCACACTCTTATAGAAATGTTTCGCTCCTCTGAAACCAACCAGTTCACTAGCACACCGCTCGGTGTCTAATTTACAAACCATTATAACTCAACGTTCAGCTATAATTAAATTACCTAATTAACTTAAACTGTTGTCACAAACCAATGCATGTCATTTTAAGATGTTTTGTGCTCCTTCGTATGTATGGTAATAAAATTTCAAAGAGGTTACCTAATATATATTACTTTACACTAAAACATACTTAATTTTAGAGTTTTTATGATCATGTCACAAAAGATGAAGGTTCGACTCATACATTCATGATCACTCTCGTTCAGATACTGTACTGATTGGACATCTACTTTACTCAGACATCACAATATGTTTTTTTCCTTTTGGATAAAAAAAGAAAAAAAAAAGAAAAAAAAAGAAATGGTTGTGTGGGTTGACGTTGATGAGATAGATAGATGGGCATAGCCAGGGTTGGGCAATTGCCTATCTGTCAGCCTCTCTGTCTCTCTGTCTTCTTCCATTTCTTTATTTCCATACCACTCTGTTCTTCTCCCTTCTCCCTTCTCCCTTCTTATATAACCTTCTTCTTCTCTTCCCCACCACCATTTTCTCCCTCCTTCGCTTAATCACCACGCATTCTTCAGCCATGTTTGGGGATACCACTTTGACCAAGGTGTTCGTTGGGGGCTTGGCTTGGGAGACTCCCAAGGAAGCCATGAGAGATCACTTCGAGAAGTTCGGTGACATTCTCGAGGCGGTTATCATCACCGATAAACTCACCGGCAGATCCAAGGGCTACGGATTCGTAAGTCTGAAGGATTGATTTTTGGCTTCATTGATGATTCTCGAGTTTGTTTTTGATGTTTTTCATGTTTTTGATGTTTTCGATTTTAGGTCACGTTCAAGGACGCAGAATCGGCGAAGAAGGCTTGTGAGGATTCGGCTCCGATCATCAATGGCCGTCGAGCCAACTGTAATCTGGCTTCCCTTGGCGCTCGGAGATCCTCAAGGTCGGCTTCGGCTACTCCTCCGCAAGGTCCTCAACCAGGTTAACACTCTCTTCTCCTCTTCTCTCGAAGAAACTGGTCAATTCAGTATTTGTGTATGGCATTTTCGTAATTATGTTGAGGAGGATCTGAATATGGTTTGTGATTCCTTGAAGGATCGAACGGTGGTGCGCCGAGGACGACGTCAGCGGCTGCGGGAAACCACGTGCAGTGGTACTACCCAGCGGGGACTCATCCGACGGCGTTTCATCATCAGCCTCATCAGGCCGTCCCTTTCTATGGGTATACCTCAACATCCTATACACTCTTCCGTACTTTATCATTGCCCAGGGATTCTTTAGTATTATTTTTGGTATTTTCTTGTAAATCAACGTAAATTTCGTTTTCTTACAGATACTCCCCGAGCCCCACCACCTACATCGCCACCGATATCAGTTACAACCATGTCAGTTATTTATTTATTTAAATTAATAAATCAATTATTTCTTAAATATTTTTAAATTTATTAGACATTAAATAATGATTTTTTTTTTTTTTAATTTTTTGGTGATGAACAGCAGAAGGTGGGGTATATGAACGGCGGGCCTTACGCGCAGATATATCCGGGGCAGGCCATGGTAGGGGCGAACACCTTGATGCCGATGTACCCGGTGTATCATTACCATCAATCACAGGCGATGGGGATGCCGGCACACATATTCCCGCCAAGTCCGACGGCGGCTGGGCCATTTGCGGCGGTTCCACCCACTTCCATTATGTCCAAACCGGCATCCGTTGGCCCCAACCCAGGTCCGTTTTCTCTTCAATTTCTGTGTTGAGTTATTGCGTTTTGTTGGGATGATGGAGATGAATAGAATTACTGCTGCTGTCCTTGGCCCATTGTTTTGCCTTTTGCATGATGTCCAGAAGAACACGGATTTTGGTCAATGGTCAAACGTTATTAACAAGAAAAGAAAAAGAAAAAGAAAACAGATCCTCCTCCTCCTCCTCCTCCTCCTCCTCCACGTGAAAGGGTAGTTTTAGTAAAAGGGTCTGTCCACCCCCTCTGTCAACTTGCTTTCCTCGGACCCACGTGCAATTATCAAATTAACTCAAGTTAACTAATTAATGGGTTGATCATGAATTTGCTAAATAAGAAATACAGTACTCATGCTCAAAATAGACAATATAGCATCATCATTATACTGATATTACAAACAACAGTTTGCTTGGTTGTGGAATAATAGGAAGAGTTGGAGGAGGTTGCGGGGAATGACGATGATGGTGGTGGTGGTAAAAGAGGAGCAGAGGAAGAATCAAGTATAAACAAAAGGGGGAAGCAGGCAGGCAGGCAGAGGCTAAGGAGGGACATTTTTATTTATTTATTTTAAAAATCTGAACATCTCATTCTCTTCAGTACATGGCAGACAAAAGGGAAAAGAAAAAAATAAGAGAGTAGACAAGGTGACGCTGGGTGGGTGGGGGTGGGCTGCTCAGAACTACATTATTTTTAGGCCGATCTGTTGTAGCCCTTTCTTTCTTTCTTTCGTTCGTTCTTTCTTTCTTTCTTTAATTTCAACTCATTTTTGTTGCCATTATCTCTCCCCCAAACCCATCTCTCTTAGTCTTATAAGCTCCAATCTTCCGTAAGCTTTCAACTACACATTGAAATAACTCTTCACTTACTTTTAGGATAAAAGGCTTGCACGTGGAAACCATGAATTATAAGATTATGTGTCAATTTTTGAGCTTGTGGTGCGGTGTTTGTGCTCAAATTTTTATATGATTTTCATTTGTTCAGTTTTCTAAGGTTATGCTTCCCATTTAATGGTAATGTCGGTGGAAATTGATTGATTAATTATGGTATAGACTTAATTAAATTATAAAGTTTGTAGGAAAAGTGTGGTGCAAGTGCCCAATGTCACTATTACAAAATAATTTATATTTATTGTACAAAGGACTAACGCAAAGTACCAAATGCAAATTTCCATCTTACACAAAATGATTATTTGATTTGACATAAGGTGTCCCAACTATAATACTATTTCAAGTTATATTGAAATGTATATGCTTTCACTGTTCATAATTTCATTTTCGTAAATTGACATGTCAATTGATATATAAAATTTTAAGTTACTATTCAACAAGTCCCTAATATTAAGAAAAGAGTTTTGGTCCACAAATCAATGAAATCCATTAAATCGGTAGGGGGAGGTGACTAACATTTTAAATAACAAACGGTTCTCTCTCTCTCTCTCTCTCGTTCTCGTCCGATACAGTCCACCACTGGTGGACTATCGAGTTAACTAAAAGTATTGTTCATCTTTTAAGACTTGTGTATTCAGACTAATAGGTCAAATGTTAAAACTCTAGCTCCATATATTATTAAAAAATAGATTTTTATTGAAATATCATTGAAAGTTGTGACACCGTCATAGCTAGGAAGATTTTGTGGAGAAAATCAAGAGGTAGTTGTAGATTTACCGCATAAATTTTAACTGAGCAAGAAATTAAGTTAAATAATGCAGTTAAAATAAATGACACGTTGAAGAATAAATTTTAATTAAACAAGAAAATAAGTAAAATAAATTTTTATTAGAGCGATCAGCATTTAGAGTAAGCTTTAGCCGCATCGATCACTGAAAGAAAGTAGCATAAAAAAAAAGGATGGATATTTTTTAATTTAATTTCTTTTTTCTTTTTAAATAAATAAATAAATAAATAAAACAATAAAATTATTATTTCCAACCCTTTTGAGTTTCGAAAGCTTCCATCTAAAATTAATTTCAGGATCTCTCTCTAAAACCCAAACCCTCTCTCTTTCACCCAGAAAGTCCATTTTCTTTTTTTTTTTTTCTGAGAAGATCCGGTGAGGTACACTCGTTTCCTTTCTCTGTTCATTGCAATTCTCTGTTTACCTCTAATTTCATGGTGTTTTATGTTTCGCAATTACGGTATTTTCACTCTCGTCGGTTCTTAGATCCCGACTGGTTTTCTTAATTAGGGCTTATGCTGTTGTCTGAGTTTTTTTTTTTTTTTTTGAGCTTTTGTTGATTGTTTTTCCTTGTTTTTCGCTTCCCTTTTTGTGAAAAAATTGCTCAGATTCTGTTTTTCATGGAAGAGCCGGACGAGAGAGATGCTTCTGGCAGTGTTTCGAAGTCAACTGTCACTGCTGGGAAGCATGTAATGGATGATTCCGGTGTTAGTGTTAGGAAGGAGCGGGTTCAGAGTGAGTTGACCGAGGAGGCGGGGAGAGCGGAGAGGGGTGATGGGGCTTGTAATGGTGGTGGTGAGGATATTATGGTGGAAGTTTTGGGTGCGGATGTTTATTTTGATGGTGTATGTACTGATAGGACAGCTGCGAATTCGGATGGGGATTCAACTGGGGAGGAGGCCAGTGTGGAGAGGGATGATGTCGGTGTCCTTGACGAGCCTGATGTGGGGGTTTCTGGTGGCATGAAAAGTGAGGGAGTATCAGGGGTTGGAGAATCAATAAAAGAAACGTCTCAAGAAGTTGTGGAGGGTGATGAAAGAGCCGTTGATGCAATGGTCCTTGATAATGATGCTCGGGCGGATGATTCTTCAACAGTTTCTGGTCATGTGGAGAGAGAGACTGAAGCTGCTCATGTGGACGAGGAAAACACTGGAAGCAAGGAGGCTATGGACTTAGATACTCGGGTGGTACGTAGTCAAGGTAGTTTACTCCGTAATAGTCCAGATGATAAAGTTTTGAACAACGAGGAACCTAAGAAAGTGGATGTTCATTCTCCCACAGAAAATGGGGTTGAAGGAGACCCAGTGCATGCAGATGGGGTAAGCCAACTTGTAAAAGAGGAAGCTTCAATAAGTGATGGGGAAGAAAGTCTGGAAAAAGAAACAGGCCAAAAAAGTGTGGTGGAAGGTGAGCTAATTGTTGATACACAAGTTGATCTTCAGGGTACAGGACTTGTAGCTTCAGATGGTAGTGAAAATTCAAATTCACAGGGCCAAGATGCTACTGAAAAAGCTCCTGACATGTTTACCAAAAAAGAATTGAATCCTGAAGTTATTTCTCAGAGCGATGGTTCAGAGAAAGTCCTTTCTAATTTGGAAAGGGATGGGAAGTCGGTTAAAGTCCCCGAGGTAGCAGCACAGGCGCTTGATAGTGAGAATTTGAATCCAGGTATAGCTGTTCCTGAAAATGTGGCGAATTCAGACCAATCTACAGCTGTTACTGAACATATGGCGAGTACAGATTCAATTTCATCAAGTCAACCAAACCAGGATGCTGAGGTAGTCGTTGCAGCAGAAAATGATGGTAAATTTTTGGCTCCAAGTATTGAAGTTTCTGCTGAAAATGATCAAAATTTGAACATGCAGATAGAATGCAGGAATATGGAGTCGGATCTGCGATCCAATGGACAAGGAGGGGGCATTGGCGTAGAAGTTGAGGAACATGCTGTTATTGATACTAATTTGGCTGATTTTGAGAATGTGGAAGGAATGGAAGTTGATCAGTGTTTCAATGTTAACCAGGTGGGTTTACATGGCGAGGAAGAAATGGAAGATGTGACAGGTAGTGATAATGACGATGATGAAGTTGCTGAGTGTGTAGAGAATCCTGTAAGTTCTGTACAATTGCATCAAGCTCGTTATCACCTGCCATCAGAGAATGAAGGTGATTTTTCTGTTTCTGATTTAGTGTGGGGTAAAGTGAGGAGCCATCCTTGGTGGCCAGGTCAGATATTTGATCCATCTGATTCTTCTGATAAGGCAATGAAATATTATAAAAATGACTTCTTTTTGGTTGCTTATTTTGGGGATCGAACATTTGCTTGGAACGAAGTGTCTCATTTAAAGCCATTTCGGACAAATTTCTCCGAAGAAGAGATGCAAAGCCATTCAGAGGCTTTCCAAAATGCTGTTGATTGTGCTCTAGAAGAAGTCTCTAGACGATCAGAATTGGGGTTAGCGTGTGCTTGCACACCCAGAGAAGCATATGACATGATTAAATGTCAGGTTATTGAAAATGCTGGTATTCGAGAAGAATCATCTAGAAGATATGGTGTAGACAAATCTTCCAGTGCCACATCGTTTGAACCAGCTAAATTAATTGAATATATCAGGGAGTTGGCGAAGTTTCCATCTGATGGCAGTGAACGTTTGGAACTAGTGATAGCTAAGGCACAGCTGACAGCTTTTTATCGTCTAAAGGGTTATTATGGCCTGCCTCAATTCCAATTTGGTGGCTTGCGACAGTTCCAGTTTTGTGGGGGGCTGGCAGACAAAGAGTTAGACAGTTTAGGCAGTGAAATACAACCAAGTGATTTTCTTCACCATGCAGCTCATTGTCAGGATGATACACAGACATCCCAGCGTAAGGAGAATTTTGAATGTCGGAGTAGTTCTTGTCATAAACGCAAACATAATTTGAAGGATGGTCTATATCCTAAGAAAAAAGAAAAGAGTTTGTATGAACTAATGGGTGAAAATTTTGACAATATAGATGGAGAAAATTGGTCTGATGCAAGGATAACTTCCACATTGGCGTCGCCTTCTTCGAAAAGACGGAAGACTGTAGAACATCCTATTGATGATTCTGGTTCTCCAGATGGAAGGAAAACTATATCCTTGGCAAAGGTTTCTGCAACCGCACCTCTTAAACAGTCCTTCAAAATTGGCGATTGTATTCGTAGGGTTGCAAGTCAGTTGACTGGTACGCCTCCAATTGTCAAGTCTAATAGTGAGAGGTTCCAAAAGGCAGATGGAAGTTTTGATGGGAATGCAATCTATGAATCTGATGTTTTCCTCCAGAACTTTGATGATGCCCAAAGAGGAAGGGTAAATTTTCCTGCAGAGTACTCCTCGGTGGATGAATTGCTAGGTCAACTTCAACTAGTAGCAAGCGATCCAATGAAGGAATACAGCTTCTTGAATGTAATTTTGAGTTTTTTCACCGATTTTCGAGATTCATTAATTTTGAAGCAGCAGCCTGGGATTGAGGAGGCCATTTGCAGAATCAGTGGTAAGAGGAAAGCACAATTTACTAATACTGTTGCTTCACCACATACTTTTGAATTTGAGGATATGAGCGACACTTACTGGACGGACAGAGTAATCCAAAATGGGACTGAAATTCAGCCACCTCGTAAAAACAGAAAACGAGATTACCAACAGGCAGTTGCAGAGCAAGAAAAGGTTCCTCAAGGGAGTCGCAGGCCATACAAGAAGCGACATTCTGCTGGAAATCATGCTATGACAGCTGAAAAGTATACTAGCTTTGTAGATCAGCCATCTCCTGCAGAACTAGTAATGAACTTTTCTGAGGTGGATTCTGTGCCATCAGAAAAAACCCTGAATAATATGTTTAGGCGGTTTGGACCCTTAAGAGAATCTGAGACAGAAGTTGATAGGGAGGGTGGTCGTGCAAGGGTAGTTTTCAAAAAATCTTCTGATGGGGAAATTGCTTATAGCAGTGCTGGAAGGTTCAGCATCTTTGGACCAAGACTTGTAAATTACCAGTTTAGTTATACTCCTTCTACGCTGTTTAAAGCTTCTACAATTCCCAGACTTCAGGATCAGGAAATGCATCTTGATCTTAGCACGACTCAATTCC